AGAGAGAGAGAGAGAGAGAGCTGGCGCTTTCTGCGGGTCGCAGGCTCGGGCCTGGTCCTCCATGAAGTCGCCACTGCCCAAGGATCACAGAGCCACGTAGCTGACATAGCAGTCTTCCATGTATGCCTCGTGCAGAAGTCTAGGGCCCTTGGTTTTTCGAAAGATCTTCGGGCAGTAACTGCAGTAACTGGGGGCTCGCCGGGCTTGCTGGTCTTCCGGAGGAGCCTGGCGTCCCATATCCTCCGGATCGAAGCATCCATGAGTGGCACCTCCAGAGGATGGCCACTTTGGCGCAGCTAAGAGCTTTTAACAGAAATTGAATCCTGAGACGGCCCTATGATGGCGACTCCGAGCGTCTGGCTCTTTGGGTCTTCTATGTGATTCCATGATGCCATGCTGGGACTTTTCCTCGGCTTTCAACATATGGGATTCATGGTTCCTGTCGTTGAAGTTGTGTCGAATCACAACCGCTACTACTGCGGCTGCACAACCACCAAATCCTCACCACCGCGACAGCTACGAGTCCTCCTGGTGCTCGTCATCCTCCTACGACCGCGATCTCGCTACTGCTCCTGCTGCTACGTCAACCACGAGCAAAAGGACGCCCGCAGGCTCCGTCATTACTGTGACCACTGTCACTATTTGATACTGCTGCTGCTGCTACTGCTGATACTACCACTACCCACCTGCACCAATGTCATAGTGTTTGTTTGCATTGAAATTTGTTTAACATAATGTAGAACGTCATAGACTGAGCAACTCAGGATCGTTTGCGCGACGATCTGGAGAGAGCTCCCCAACTTTTTGAGGACAGGTCAATAGCCCGCGCCAGTGCAAAAACATGCAGTCTGAAAGTAGAATGCCTGAGACATGCCCAATTCAATGTCGAGCAGACAGCTACGTTGTCCATTCGTCGTCTATATGTGCCTCCATATGTCGCAAAATGAGCATTGCACACCTGCCAGCACATCAGGTACGGAGCATCCGTACAGCATAAGCAACAGTACCCAAGCAGGCTTAGGCAGATGACATTGCTTGGGTACTCTGATAAAAGCGCGAGACCCTGGTCACGGGATAATCGGTGAATGTGCTGCAGTTTGAGGACATTGTAAGCTTGCGCCGCATCTTCACCGAGCCGCCGCCACTTTCCCAACGAGAAGGCACCGCTGACAGCCCACGACATGTGGTCAAGTTCAACTCATCTTTTCTCGGGGTCCGACACCGCAGGTGCGCAGTGAGCGAAGCTGCACCTGAGATGCTTGAACGAGTCCGGCAAGGGGGTTTGGCCGTTCCTTGATTTCTTATTGTTCCAATCCAAGGTTACGGAAAGTGAAGGGCACTGTTTCTTCGATTTCGTTTCTAGACTCTCGTATCTTCCTCCCTCTAGGCCCCAGACACATCCAGAGTCCAAAGTACTTTGCCTCATGTGATGTACTGCCTCATGTTGTCCAAACCAAGCACACTTCGCCTCCTTGGCCATACGTTACCAATATCGGATACTTTTCATGCAACCGGGCTCCTAAGCATCTGCTCATCCTGAGCGCATTGTGGTCATCGCAACGTAGCTGTGTCCTGCTGCAGACTGACTGCGAGGCCTCTGAGGGCTAATGAAACTGCTGAACGCTGCTTCTTCCCTGAGCATATCCTCCACGCATGATGACAGGCCGTCTCACATCTGAGCTGTCCATTACACTACACAGGCTGATGAAACCGCGAATTTTTCCCTCACCACCGAGCTTTTTCCCTGGAGATGCCTGTCTAAGCACCGTGCACCTGGCACTGGGGCTGTGTTTAATGATTCCCAGCCGTGGAGGCACAGGCTCAGCAGCACCCTTCCTTTTTGCATTTTTTCAGGAGAATTTTTTACGTTACACCATCGATTTCGTGTGGTTGTTTGCGCCACAACCGGTGATTCTGCGCATTCGCAGAGATCGATCCCTTTGCACTGGCAGCAAGACTGCGGAAGGAGATGCAGGTGTGCATTGGGCAGCTGGAGTCGTGCACCCTGATGCTGCCAGAGCACCGGGTTGCGAATTAGAGACGAGGGTTTCCACTTACGAGTGGAAACCACTTCGTTTTGAAGCATTTGTTTAAGCCGAAGGCCCACTTCTATGCCCTTCGTTTAGCGCTGCCCCTCACGGGCCCAATCCTCTGTGCGAACTTGATCCACGAAGGCGTCGACCTGATCCGTGGCTTGCGGATTGTTATCCCTAGCAGCTTTTAGCCAGAGCTACACGCACAAACTGGTATTCGATGTCTTATGCGCCAGCACTGGATTCTGAAGTATCCTTCGGTGTTTGGAAGGCTGCGAGCATCCGCAGAAAAAAAGAGTGCTTTGGGATGTCGCTTTCAGCTGCAGAGCAGCCGACCTGTTGTGAGTGCATGGCACCCGGCAAGCCTAGCTGCGTCAGGAAGAGCTGCGGCGCAAAGAACAGGAGCTAGTTGAATGCAAGCTGACTGTGCATGACATCGGGTATCGGGGTTGTAACTTCAAACCGGTGCAGATGCTTAAGCACTGCAAATCTTAGACACCATGTTCAGCCTAGAGGGCTATTCTTTCTCCAGCAGCGCGCTCAGAAGAGGACGAACGGCGGCGTCACGAGGAGGAGCAGGAGGCGCAGCGGCGGTTGGAAGAGGAGGCACTCCGCACTCGTAAGGCGCGACTGTGGGGTGCCTGGAAAATGCTCTATACGGTATTTGGGGACTGTGGTGCATAAGGGCCGCGGAGAGGTCTTCAGCTTGGTCAGCGGCTGCAGATTGAACGTGTAGAGCGTGTCAAGCCACCCCATGATATTTGGGAGCGGCATTCTCAGTTCCATTTCAGCCTTGATCACGGTTTATCATGATTAATAATGCAGGTCACTACCTAATCCGAGCATCTAAGTAGTCAGGGGGGCCCCCCGAAATAAGGATCGCGGGAACCGCATTAATGGAATCTCTGTTGGCTCATCCCGGCTCCTTGGCTCTCTATTACAAAAAAATAGCAATGTATTGAATCTCCAGCCGGGTTTGGCCCGGAGTCTTGCCGTACATGTGGTCCCTTTCATAAATCTGCTTCGGGCTGCTGCCAGGCAGGCCCCGTAAGGATTAGCTTCAGAAAGAATGTTATAAGGCCTTGAATAAGAAAGCCTGGCTTTCTGAAGGGCCTCGGCTGGCTTTTGGGAAAAACCTTGGCCGGCCGAAAGGCAAGGCCTGCTTCGTAAAACAAGCCTTGCTTGTGTATGCAAGCAGCAAGCAACTTTTATGAAGCTCCCCGAACTAATTATCTTTAAATGTGGTCCCTTGTCCCCATACGACATCCTGCCGACATTGAAAGTACTTCTTTAAGACCTTCTTCAAGTCCCATCCTCGGATTCAATCCTTTGAAGCCCAGCGATCACCCCTCCCTTCAAGAGTAAAACCGCTTGAAGCTTCCGATTTTGGGAGGCAAAACCCGGGCCCGGGCCGGCACGCCGTGCCTTGGCCGATGACGCCTTCGACTTGCTCCGGGGCTCGGAGGAGCCGAGCTGCGACAAAAAACGTCAATGTATGCCTTGCTATAATTATCTGTGCATATATATATATATGTATGTATGAGTTGTATGTATTGCTGTATGTATATATGTATGTATGTATGTATGAACACTATGTATGAATTGTATGTAGAATGTACGTACCTATGTCTCTGTATGCAGGTATGCATGTACGCACGCAGCCCCGGATGGATGTATAAATTGATGGTAGTATGGTTGTACATATCCATGTATGTATAACATAGATGTCTTGATGTCCCGTCGCTGTGCCCTTGGTGTTGGTTGCTGTTGCGAGCAGCACGAATCGGTGCCGCCCAGCCAGCCCGAAGTCGTGCGATCGTGAGCAGAAGCAGGCTCGACTGTCGGGGGACTTAGTTCCGACAAGATCACTTGAAAAAGCGGGTCGTAAGTTCGAACTACTACAAGCCGCAACATGTGCTACTCTGGCGATGGATTCAGCCAGTAAAGCAAGCCACACCGGTGGCTGGCTGCCTCAGCCTACGAGTGAGAACACCTGCACTGTAAGCTTAGACGACAGGCGGTTTGGGCGACGGTTCGGCAGGGGTTATTCTCCCTATTGTTCTTTACTCTCGAACTGCCAGTGCGCGAACTCGCGCAGGGGCGGACTCGCAACCTGCTCTCTCTGTGCTGGAGAGAGAGAGAGAGAGAGCGAGAGAGAGAGAGAGAGCCCCTGGTCCGTGAGCCCGACAAAGACTGGGGGGCCCATGTGGCCAGGGAGCCTGACCAGCTCCTTTGCCCCTGTGGAACAAGAGGGAGAGAGAGAAGCCATTTTGGCTCAAGGTGCCGACACCGACTTCGAAGACGCCGTGGTCCTCGACAGCTCAAGAGGGAGGTTGGGGGGGAAGGTCCCTTCTTACTGTGTCTTTCGAAGGACCCCCCGCCTCTCGCCTGTAACTAGCTTCCGAAAAGTTTTTGGGGGGACCGTGAAGTGTGAGCGCTGTGTTCTTGGGTTTCCTTATCTGTGTTCGTTATTGTGTTTACAAGGAACACCTCACGTCCCCTAGTTTAGAATCCTCATGCCGGGGGACTGTACCTGCACACTGTACCATAGCCATCCCATGAAGGAAACGCCTTACTGCAAATGCCGTCACAACCTGACAGGTTTCTGTCCATTGCCTGCAATTCTTTGTCACTCCCTCGCTAAACAACGATGTCTGATCCGCACACCTCATTCTGAATTCTTTGCCTCGCCCCCCATCTGAGCTCATAAGCAGAGGGGATAATTCAACCGGCATTTGCTCTCTTTTTTTTTTGCATTTCAGCAGCATTGAACACCAATGTTTGTGTGGAAGGCCCCGCCCACCAAATGCAGGGGATGACCAAACTAAAGTGTGTTGTTGCCCGTCATCCTCAAATGCATGGGGGCTCTTCAATCGAATGGTGAGCCCGCCACCCTGGCCGAAGCTATAAGGGCCCGGAGATGAGGCCGGGACGCAGGTTGGGGGTCCTAGTGTTAAGGGTCGCAACCTCACTGATTTTGACGCATGGGGCATACTTGGTACCCTGGTACAGCGGTCAGAAAGACCCCAATGCCGACCACTCAATAATACATTGGGTGGTTGGGCGGGCCAATGGCCTGAGGGTCGGGGACACCGACCCTTAAGCCCAGCGGAAAGAAAGACAGAGAGAGAGAGAGAGACGAGCGCCCCGAAGCCCTGCTACGAAGTTCTGGCATCTCCAGGCACCCAAACTGCGGGTGTTTTCTTGACCGAACGCCGATGCCCGAAAGCACGGTAGCAACTACATTACCTTTCACGGCAATCTTTGAAGAGTGCCCAACTCGGCGCCAGGACTCGGACGAGGAAGAGGAGGACGCATTATTTCACTAAGCGCTCTGTAGCCGCAGCAAGTCTGATTCTCTTTGTCAATTGAATCATTTGCCCTAGTCCAACACAGAGGGTTTTGGTGTCGCACTGTCAGGAAGCGCCGCGAGGAGCAGGAAGACCCCGCAAGCAGGACCTTGTTGCATGGAAGCGCTCTAGCACAGCACGCATGCTTCCTCCAGAGCTTTCCGCACGTGGTACTTGCAGGAGGCCAAGGGCAAATCCGGGCGTTCCTCGAAGGCCAAAGGCACCAAGAAGACCCCATCGCACGTGGACAACGCCTTCGCTTTCCTGGCCGGTGCTTGCGAGGTGGGCGCTGGGGCTGGGAGATGTATGTCTTTGCAGGATGATAATACTCGTATCATCACCCGTCATATACGGAAGATTCGTTTGATCTACTTTTCAAAGTCAACTCCAGCTTGCAGCCTTGCAAAGCGAAGCTGGCCAGTCGGAGTGGGTTCGCGCGCAAAGCAACGTGTTCTAAGCGGCAATGCCGTAAAATACCCATGGCGACCGAAAGCCCAGGAGGACGGTTCGGAGGACGATGGCGAGGAGGCCTGGGAGGCCGGGCCACAGCAACAGCGACCGAAGGACAAGACAGGGAAACATCTGAAGATGACGAGACTTTGCTTGCATGCATGCGTGCATGTATACATGCAGATACATACATGCACATATGTACGTATAGAATATATATATATATACACACACACACCTTCGCGTTTGTATGTCCACGTTAGTTTGCTTCGTCATCTTGCAATTATCAAGCTGTCAGCAGGGGTCCAAACCGGTTTTGGACGCTTACGGAGAGCCCGGATGCAAGATCGGGAGGGATTGCAACAGATTCTACAGCTGCATTGCTTTCACCACAGGTATCATATTAGAGATTCTGCCCGACCATCTTGCACAAGTCAAAGGCAAACGTCGACGAGCAGTACCACGGCCTGCGGGCTTCAACGCAAAAAGCCACCAGCCCGAAAAACACAGCGACCCCGTGTCAAGATGCAAGCCCAGGCTCCCTCTCATTTCGGTAGGCCGCCGGGACGCTGAGTCTCCCGCTGAAAGGATTCATAACATGAAGACGACAAATCTGGGGTCACACGGGGTCGTAGCGGCTGGAACGAGAATTCGGCGAGAATGAATGAGAGAGAGAGAGAGAAGCGCGTCATCGCTCGCGGATGCGTGATCTTCGCTGGGACGAGGCGGCGATCCTTTCTTTGGAGCAGGGGCAGAAGAAGGAGAAGGAGAAGGAGGTCAAGGCCGGGGCCGGATGGAAACCCGAGAGCGCCAGCGGGAGACCGAAGCACCTGGCATGCCAGGCGCCGCGCAGAGCTCCCAAGGCTCCCGCGCCCGCCGCGCCCGCCGCGTCCGCTGCGTCCTCGTCTGCACCGAAGCGGAAGCCTGCGAGGCGCGTCGCAGTTGAGAGTGGCTGTGAGTCTTTTATATTCTTTTTAGGTAGGAGTTACGGCAACTCGTCTCTCAAGCTGCAGACAGTGTAGTCGGTTTTTGTGGAGGCTTTGAAGGAGTGCCAGGGCCAGGGGCCAGGGCCGGGGCCAGGGCTGTCGCGGGGGGGTGCCCGATGACCTGCACGCATCCGCCTCTTTGGGACTGCGGCATACTGGGGCCGTCCCCGGCAACTGGCAGACGGAAGCAAAACGATGATGAGCACCACCAATCATGTTCGTTTAGTGGGCCAGCCAAGCATCAAAGGCATCGCTACACTCCACTTTGAGTTTAACATGACAGTCTTTGCCAGACGGCAGTTTCGATGTTCATCGTGGTAGTTTTGGAGTTCATGCGTAGTTGTCGTGGCCCCTTCAAGTACAACTCAGATATGGGGACTCGGTGCCTTTGTTCAAAAAGCGCGTGTTGAAGAGGACAGGAGCTTGGGTCCAGAAGGCTTTCATGGCGCTGGGCTGTCCGGCACTCAGCTGGGTTATGGTGCTTCTGGCGCCATGGGATGTGGGATGGCTGACCGCGTGGCAGAGATTTAGCCGCGGAACGTTGCATCCATAAGCGTTACTGGCTCTATGCGGCAATGCTGCCGCCCCCTTTGATATCCTTTGAGACCGAGGTGATAAGGACGATTCCGATGAGTCCGAGGAAGAGGATGCAAGTCGGAATCCTGGCCAGCTCTTTGGTGTTGTGCAACTCGGGAATCGCCAGAGAAGAGGCCCGCCAGAGCAGAAGCGCGCTGCTGACTTCCAACTCGCAACGTGGCGGCAGAGATGCAGACGCTGAAGCTGCTTAGTTATGGGTGCTAGGACTGCCAACTGCTTCGAGTTCAGATTGAGCTCAGGTGAAGCTCGCGGGGGTCCGGGGCCTGGCGCCGGCATCTCCTCGTCCAATCTTTCCGGTCCCCCAAAGAAGCGCAGCTTTTGAGTCCAGTTGAGTCCCTGCTCCATCGGACCGGTCTAAGACGTGGACTTCCCAGGCCATTGCGAAGAAGATCGACGACATTCACAACGACTGAGTGCGCCCGTCTTGGGACGCTTGCTTGTACATACTTTCCATGCGCCACAGTGGCCAATGTCTCACCTTTTAGTGGCACACGACCGTCACAGTAGGAACGTTCTCCCCTCGCGTCGTGCAGAAAACTGACGCCCTCCGTAATCTTCCAGAAACGCCTCGCGGATTCATGAGCTATAGCGAGCGACTGGTTCCTTTTCCACATCGGAGCCTCTTCTCAGGTGCAGCTCCACTTCTTCTTACGGCTCTCATCATTTCAGCCCAATATGCCATGGGCGCAAATGGAAGTGGGTGCTGTTAAGTAAACGGGGAACTTGTGCAACCTGCTTTGTCTGCCAGAAAGGAGGAATTTGGCTCTGCAAGGAAAGCCAGGACATATGCTGCCAGACCTGACAAATTGGAGCGCCACGGACACCTTCCCCGGAGCCCACTCTTTCAGAAGCAGACTTTCGCAACTCAACCATACAATCCAACCGATGGACTCTGCAAGAAAGCTGATGTAGGCTGACTTGACGGGCGCATGGCGCAACGCCAAGTAGACCCGTTCGAGGATAAACCTTATACCGTTGTACCTATGTTTACTATACTGCGATCTATTCCCAAAACTAGCAAAAGCATGCCATAGTTGGGCACAGAGTATTTCTCATCCGGCCTGTGCTGGCAAAGCCATCTGCGCTGTGGCGCAGAGGCAAGCCATGCCTTCCAAAAATGAGGCGCATCCGACGTGTGTCGTTCTTGATGTGGGGTCCAGGGGCCCATGTGCCTCGTATAAACTATTGAGGCCTTTGAGGCTCTGAGGCTCGGACTGGGAGGCAACGCTCCCCGCCCCGCGGCGCCTGGTCAGAGTTTCCTGCCCTGCATAACCTCAGAGGCAGAGACGACTGAAAGCTGACAGAGGAAGAGGCAGACAAGAACAAGAAGAGAAATATAGCGGTTACCCCAGCAGCCCAGCATATTCCTCAAGGCTGCCTGAAGCCCCCGAATACACACCAACAAGCCCAGATAAGGGGTTCTTTTGCTCCTTTCGCTTCCAGCTGCTTCGCTTGACGGTGCCCCTTCGGCCAGTCAAAAAACGCCCCTCCAGGCCCCGGGTTTCCAGGGGGAGCGCCGACAATCCCTGAACTCCGTGGAGAAGGACTCGACGCCTGCTGCGGGGCTCAGAAATATGGGGAACCCTGTGCATGACGGAGAGTTTCCAACATGGCAGGAGCAGAAGAAGATGGCGAGGGCTGTGCTCAAACGAGGTGGCCAAGATGACACCGCATTCCCAGTCCTACGTATTGCTAATAAGGTAGCCATTATTTCCGTCGTCGTGATATCGCCATTATCATGCTATGGTGCGCCCTGCCTGGTAGTATCTGTCATTGCCACAGCGGTTTCGTTGGTGGCTGTGGTGGCTGATGATGATGATGATGATGATGATGATGATGGCATGTGTTTTGAATAGTCTCAATGTCCAAGTTGCAAGTTAGAAGGCTCATGAGTTTTTAGCACTACCAGCCATGATGGTGCTGCTAGTGGAATTCCGGCTTTCGTCATGCTGTCGTATGACTCGTATTTGAGAGCAGTAGCCCCTTCTCAGAATGCAGTGCAGATGCCATGCCCATAAAGGGGCCATCGTTGCATTGCTTCTCACGCGTCCAACTCGGGTGTCATCTCAGCCGAGATCGTCGCAGCCTGTGTGGATTCTTCGATCGATAGCGGAAAGCAGCCTCTTCGCTTTCCGATTCTACCTGTATATGCACTTTCACTATATGCACACCATGAAAGTTTGGGAAAAGAAGGGTCGCCAAGCTCCGGACGGAGGTGGCTCCATGCAGTCCCTCCTCTCCATGGGCTCCAGACGATCCCAGCGATCCGGGGATTCCAAGAACAGCAGGCGCAGCCCGGCAGAGAGGAAAGGCCGCTGTTTGTGCGGCTTGGGGTTGATGACGGTTTGCCTCGCTTTCGAGCGGGTGCCAACCTTTCATGCCTTTGGCACGTGATTGCTTCCTGTTTTTTCCTCGACCGAGCCCGTCGCGGCATTCGTGGATGCCGAACTGTGTCCTTCGTGCACGTCGTGAACCGTGACTGCCAAGTCTCAGTTTCCTAAGACTGCCATCCGACGCCAGGCTCGGAAACAACAAGGCTCGGCTGGGAAAGGGTAGTTCTGCACCTGCGGATGGTGTTCCCATAGCTTCTGCTCCAAAGAACCGCCCGTGCGAGCATGCTCGGTCTGCGATTTTCAGGTGCAACTTGCGGCCGGGGCTGCAGCTTGCGTGGTGCTGTCACAGCCCCGTTGTGGATATCTCCCAGATGGGCTTTGGGGGGGAAGGGGAGCTGCCGAAATGCACAACTTGACCTCTCAGTGACGGCTCCACTCCTTCAGGTCTTGGGTTGGTGCGGTATCAGTACTGCTCATGATCGTCGCGCTGAGATATACAGGCACTGTCGCCGGAGCCTCGAGAAGCTGGAGAGGGGGAAGCGTTTCAACAAGCGTAGCTCGGAGAGATGCGTCTTAGAGCTTTGAAGCTTCAGTGGAGACCGAGGTGCACCTACCAATAGCCTATGGGACCCCCTATGGAAACCAGACCTTCTTCCTGCAACCCGCCAGTGCATGACTGGTACTGCACTGGCCTGACACCTTGTTGGCACTGAGGTGGACCTCGCCGCTGCCTTACTCGGGCTGTCCGAAACATGGCACGTGCTCACTGTCGCTGTGAGTAAAGCATCTGAGTGTTGATTCTATCTTCGGCTTTCTGTGATGACGCAGGCAATCTTCAGTTTTGTTATGCTGTAGCTGTAGCCTGGCCCCTGGGGCAAGGAGCAAGGAGGCAGCAACACCCTGCGGCAATGTTCTGTGCATTCCTGGGAATGGCTCACAAGCGACATGGAGGGGATTGGAGGATTGCAGAGACAGCAGGGTTTTTCCATGCGAGCTCGAAGCCAAAAAGAGAAGTCAGGCGCGCGAGCGCTACATCGTCGCAGCAGCGGAGCGGGCTGGGAGCTCTGCACCCCCCAAAGCGTTGAGGATTTGCATCGGCTTGTGGTGTACACAGGGCTTCGCAGTTTTGTGATGTTTAAGGTCAAGGGCTTCCTTCTATTTGTTTGTGGATTACAGCATTCATGGTTTGGGAGTTGCAGCTGGAAGCTGCTCTTCGTAGCTCGAGCTGATGACCAGCAGCATCCAACACCGTTTGATAGGAGTCTTCTTTCAAATCGGCTGCTTTGGCTCGTGCCTCCTTCCTGTGTAGCTTTTCAGCGGTGGGAGATACACCGGCATGCTTCATTGCATGGGAGCCAACTGAGTGCTGTTTGTGCCCGCACCAACCGACTTCTTCCATTCCGCTTTAATTGGGCAGCTTCCCAGTGCCAACCGAGTGCTTCCATGCCGCTGCGGGCAGCCCACCAACCGAGTCTTCAACCGAGTCGAGTGCCTCCATGCCGCTGCAGACAGCTTGTCCGCATCAACCGAGTCTTGTACCGAGTCGAGTGCTTCCATGCTGCTGCGGGCACCCTGCCCGCACCAACCGAGTGCTTCTACGCTGCCTGCCCGCACCAACCGAATGCTTCCACGCTGCCTGCCAGCACCAAGCGGGTCTTCAACCGAGTCGAGTGCTTCCATGCCGCTACAGGCACCCTGCCTGCCTGCCCGCACCAACCGAGTGCTTCCACGCTGCCTGCCCGCACCAAGCGGGTCTTCAACCGAGTCGAGTGCTTCCATGCCGCTGCGGGCACCTAGCCTGCCTGCCCGCACCAACCGAGTGCTTCCACGCTGCCTGCCCGCACCTTCAACCGAGTCGAGTGCTTCCATGCCGCTGCAGGCACCCTGCCTGCCTGCCCGCACCAACCGAGTGCTTCCACGCTGCTGCGGGCGGCAATATCCTTCACGAGCCTCTAATGCCTCTGGACCCAAACTCACAGACGAGTTCATCCTTCTTGAAACGCGACTTGCTTTGTCTCTTATATTTAATTAGTCAGCCCTGTCACCGACAGGCATGAAAGGGCGTGAAAAAAGATATGGGACGACGGAAGCCCCCCGTTTGAGTCGGGACACCAGCACGCAAGGTCGGATCGCAGTCCGCGGAGGCGCCATGCTGCTTTCGTAGGAAACTAGCTGCACACAGTTTCCAGGTCCTGAAGGTTTTGGTATAGCCGCTAGCCTGCATGTGGCATCGAGAGGTTTTCGAAGCGGCCTACGCTGCGCGGCAGGCGCTGGACTATGCGGCCGGAGCCTCGGAGACTCGGAGCCTGGGAAAAGTGTCATGTCCAGCGGCGTCCGGTCCAGCCCAGCAGAGGTTCAGCGCCAGCTTTATTTCGAGCCTTTGGATTATGACTCCTTGAGTCTGGTGCGACACCCAGTGGGGTAGACGGCCCCTTGGCAAGCGCCTCGTGGTGAAGCTGCACGTCAGGCGCTGGAGCCCGTGTTTGCCGCCCGTGAGCCACTGCGAGCGGCATGGCCCCAAGCTCTTTGATGTCTTGCTCCGGCCGCCACACCGAACAGCAAATTGGAACCATAGTGAGCCCGAGGTCGACATCGCATTCGACACGCGAAACGTCTCCATGACGGTGCGGCGGGTTGTTGGAGAAGGAGAACGCCAGTTCGCTGATAGGTGCAAGCACAGAGCACGGAGGCCGACATTTAAGTACTGCAGCATGGGATGTGAGCGAAGTGCTGCATCTCGATTTCGTGCTATTCCCACGCATGGTTTTCGTTGACCAACCTTCCCAGAATGCTCAACAAGCATGCAAGAGTTCTGCAAGCGTGCAGCCCCCTGCACCCTCAACAGCGAAGGAGTCCGAAAGCCACTTCTTGTGCAATCTGATGCGGCGGACTGTCAAGAAAAGGCAAATTTGCTTGTCCAGCCTGACTGCAGTAGCCAAGCATGCTTTGGGGATCCCCTTTCCATACCCACGGTGACCTGCAACCCTTCGCTTGCGCAGTTGGGACGTTTTGGCTGCATGGACGGTTTGCCGGCGCGAGACATGCCGTGGTACCAGCCCTGCACTCAGTTCCACTCTTGTGCGGTATGAGGGTTCCTATCAAGCCGACGCTGGTCAGAAGTCGAGCGCAGTGGCGATTTGCGGAAGTTTACAGAAAAGCCTTAGATGAATCAACAGTGCTCGAGGCGTTAGTAGCATTTTGGATTCGGGAAGGTACAGAACTGTAAGTCAATGGGAGTGATATGCGGCACTTCTTGCTGCCAGGGGCAAGACCTGCATGAGGTACCGCCCACCTTTCCGCTGCAGCCGTCAGTAAGCAAGCAAGAGCCGGGTCCTGACAAGCCCCTTATGCCTGGTAGAAGGGGGGAGGGTGGCCCAGCGCCCGCGGAATTTCGAACATCCTTCACGGTCACTGAAGAAGAGGGAGAGAGAGCAAGATGTGTTTGGATGCTGCGCTGAAGTCGGGGATGGCTTCGATTGGGGATGCTGAGGCCAGGCAGGCAGGCGGAAGGCCAAATCCTAAAGGTGTAACGGGGACAAACCCCAGAGCGTTTCACGCCGACATTGGCCGACGAACAGATGCTTTCCGGTGCGGGGGGAGGGGGGTGGGGGGGCGCAAAGGACACCTGCGCCATAAAGCCGGAGCAAGCAACTCCCCATGATAGTCATGTTGACGTAGTTGGACACAGCAACCTCGTCTGGCAGAGTCCGAGTTGCGAGAGCGTACAGCTGGAGCAAGCAAGCAAAAAACCTGTTGCAAGTATGTACAGACAGAGGACAACGTTGAATGTCGAGTACCAAGACAAGCAGACAAAGCCCAGTGTGAAATGGTGGTTTTTGCTGTAGCATGCTGCTGATGATGTCGTCGCTTGGGCAGGATTGGCTCGAGCCTACCTGGTGGCCAAGAAGTCGGCAACACGAGCCCGGAGCTCGGGATAGCTCGGAGGGTAGGGTAGCGAACCTTCAGAGGGCACTGCAAACGATTGGCCGTGCTTCGAACGCAGCGTTCTCGTTATGTGCCAGTATGCGCACATGAGTGCAGAACTGTTGGGGCATGATGCTTGGCCGAGGCGGCAGCTACGATGCGCCCAGCAGCTTCGAGTGGGCCCCAGGCCCTGGCTTTGCCCGGGGCTTAGCTAAGGCCTCCTAGGCTCAAGGACGGGTCGCTTTGCCCACCGTTGTTGAAGTCGTGTTGGATTCATGTGTTCATGTGTTCATGACACTGTTTGCGATGGCACGGAAGGAAAATCTGTCAAGTTTCGCTCTGTCATTCACTGGCAATTTTTCCAGTTCCTGAGAGTCCGGTGAAGCATCAGGTAGCTGCAGCGATCGGGAAGCAAAGAAAGCAAAGAGTGCAGGAAGAGGTCTTGCGAAGCCTACGGTGCACAGAGATGAAGAAACAGATGTTGAAGCCTAGGCGATGGCCGTTGTCCGAAGGGGTTTCACTGACGCATTCCTGTCTCTCTAGGTCCCACACGATGACGGTGCCCTCACAGAGCCGGGCCCCAAGTGGTCGAGATGTTGGGAAGTGCTGCGAGCGGCTGCGAGCGTTCCCTTCATGTACAAGTCGAGCACAAACGGAGCGAAGCACAAGGTCGGTCCGTGCCGTCGCCTGGTCGCCTGCACATTCCTTGATTTTCCGGTGCTGCCCTTGGACGGCTTAGGTATGCTTAGCGCTCGCTGGGACTGGTCCCGACTGCAAGCGCCCGAGGTCAGTGTTTCCTGGAAGCGGCGGGAACCTGTCCATCATTGCAAGAGCAGTCGTGGAGGCCGTGACGGGAGGAATCGCAGGGAGTCAGGGTCGGTGCCTCCGGACACCGGTTTCAGGCTTGCAGAAAGTCTCGCCTCGAACGTCGACCGACGCTGACCGGTCGCAGGTGACGGATCTTCGGGCCGATGGTCGCCTGGATGACCGCGCGAACCTAGGCCCGGATTTCCATATGGGGCTTATCTGCTATTCCCTTCAGGGTTTCTTGCCCGTTGCAATCGTGAATGCTTCACCCGTAGCCTGCAGGGGAGAATTTCTGAATGAACAGCCGTGTCTTGCACAGGACAGATGGGTGCTGCCGCAGCCCTAGCACTAGTCGGGAGCTCCACTGGAATGGTCCGGATTGTTGGCTGCAGTGGCATTTTCTGTTCAGTGTGATAGCGATGGCACTTACCATTGATATTTCTCGGTGCTGTCATCGTTGGGAGAAGCAGTGGCTCGTTGATAATGCTCGCCGACGATGCATCAGCAGCAATGGTAGTAGGAGGAGGAGGAGGAGAAGATGCTAAGTAGCACATCGGCATTGCATTTCGTACTTTACCCCGACGTCCGGCTAACCATGATGCAACGGTTAACCGCAGCAGGCCAAGACATGACGTGGTGTCCAGACATGCGGAAGCCAGGAAAATCATTCAAGAGCTTGGGTCTCTCCGACAGTACACATAGAACGCCACGGTTCCTGCATTTTGAGCAGATGGTTCCGCAGTCAAGATGCGGTAGGCAGTAGGCAGAAGATGAGGTCTATATCTGCGACTTCGCCGGCACGCTCCTTGCCACGCTCCGTCCAGGCGAGCAGGCGCGGCTTCCTAGAGAGATCAAAGCGCTTTCTTGGGCTCGGCCTTGTCCCGGCTCCCGGCAAGGCCCTGGTGCCGCGGCCCAGTGGCGTCGCACAGTTTCGCCTGGCCTGGGAGCTGGGCGGCTGGGCTCGGGCCTGAAAGCAAGATGTGCCGTAGGTTTTCCGCCCGTACTAACCTACAATAGCCAACTCCACAGGCACAAAAGTCTCTGCAAGCTTGTTTGCACCATTTGGACATGTCTAAGAAAGAGGGTACGGACAATCTGGGCTTTGGCATTGCGCTGCTATGGCAGATGGTTCTCGCTGCACAGGCCGGAAGAATAAAGGATTCTGTCTCGACATCTCTCGGATTCGCGCTGGCTCGAGGCCTCCTCTCTGACGCCCGAGCAGTTTGAGGAGGCGAGCATGTCCGGCAGCTCCTCCTTCAAGGCTCTGGCGGCAAAGTTGCGCCTTCCTTTGGTCTCAGAGTCGACACGCCCACACTGAGAGAGACAAAAGGACTCCTGGGACTCTGCGACTTTCGGAGGGCTCTGAGGGATGGATCCGCGCTGAGGCACTCCCTTAAGGGCCCCAGAGCGGAGGGCCCCAGAGCGCCCCGGACCAGCGAAAGAGTGAGGAAGGGTCGCGCTCGACAGCGACCTAGGCACTGCTGGCCCAGCCGCAAACTCTATCCCCGTGAATGTTTCGGGACTGAGACGACTGCATCGAAAGTGTCCAGGTTTCGAGCATGAGCTCGACTAGCACCGGTCCATGTGACTTCGGGCAGTTACACTATCGACAGCCCGACGACGTGCCAGGCTGACGGCAACATCAACGTCGCAATCATAGCCATGCGGGGCATCAGCAACGGTGTCCAGCCCAGAGTGTCGACTGCGCAAAGCCAGACGTCGCGGTCTGAACATGGGCATTCAGTGAAACTTTGCATCGGCAAAACCCCCTTCAGGTTCTTGTCCACCCCGTTCATCCCCTGAGCTTTGTCCAGGTCAATTCTTCGTGGTTGTCGCTTCTGCACTTTGGCCGCAAAGCCCTGGAGCCCCATACCGCATGGTCCATCTCCTTATCCCTCTGGTCAGCTGCAGAGTTTTTTGCTCAGGTGTTCCCTGCCGGGTGTGCATGCCAGGCTAGCTGTACGGCAGGAATGACCCCTCGAGAGTAGATCCTACTACAATCCCGAGCCGGCCTCCCGGCATGAATATTCTGCATGAGTGCTGTGTACTTCCTTGTGAACCCAAGGAGCGGAATGCTTACGCGGAGGCCTCGATGGAGTTGATCTGCTCCTCGGCCCCTGCTTGCTACACTCACTTCGCCTGTAGGGATTCCCCGGAGTTTCGCAAAATGCTGAGTCCTTTGTCCGAGTCACATTCCCAAGCATGGCGGCTCGACTCCTCGTAGTTGCGTCTTTGGAGGCCTTTCCAGGTTAGTTGGCTTTGGTGCTGGAGTCTAATACTGATCTCGGGAACTCAGCTGCTGTTGAGAAGAGCAACATGTTCCCACACTGCATGGACCGACGCGGGAGAACAGCTAGCTGCAGCTAGCTTTCTTGGCGTGTTCCTGTGCGAGCAGCCCGTAAGCAGCCAAGGTAATGTAGCCCAGGGCATAGTCGTCTCGCCGCAACTTGGCACTGATTGACGCAAGTGAGCTTTCAAGGGCTTCCGGAGGCTTCCGGCCTGCCCGAGACCTTCAGCCCATCTAGGTTCCAGAGCATGACGCTTCAGCATGTTGACTTGCCGTCAGAGTAGATTCAAGTCAAGCCAGGTATCCGGCGGCTTCGCTGATTCTGTTGCTGTGCTTCGCGCTCCACCAAATCAATCAGAGGCTCCAGCAGGGTCCGAGCCGAGACCATTCGGAGGACTGTAATTGGGCCGCAGCAAGCTCCCTGCAGCTCTGCAAGTTTGTGGGGTTAGACGGCTGTCTTCACCGGAAAGGCGCAAGAAACGGCGAGTACAGCCGGAAGAGAGGCTGCATCAGTTGCGTTGGTCCTGATTTGTTCTCTGCCATCATGTCCTTGTCCGCTACTGCTGTAGATGGTAGGTGCGCGGATTAGATCATTGTGCAGTTGTAACATTCCCGACTCTTTGGTTTGTCAGGGACAACAGCTCCAATCGTTAGCCGGTGTAACTTGACTTGATTCGCAGTCTGGGGGTCACGCAAGGAACTCTAGATGGCTCCGCTTGCTTTGAGATTGCCACGCTGCAGACAGACACAGACACAAACACACACAAACACGGAGTGTGTGAGACGCAAACAACCAGAGCGCGAAGGGGGTTTTCAAGCCGAATACGGGAGGAGAAAGCTACATTGCTACATAATGAACGCGGTTGAGGTGTTTCCGTACGTTTAGATTCTGGCAGAAGAACAGACTGCTCATGTTGTTTGGTCGGACACTACAAGACTTCTCTGCGACTATGCTGCACAATGAGCCAGCAAAGCCAGTCAGCCTGGCTTTGCGCAGGTACCCGGAAACTAATTTATTCAGCTAGCTAGTTGAGGTTCGGGTAGACTAGTTGGATATAGGTAGACATGAGAAAAGAGACCTTGCTTTGAATACTTCTCCGCATCCCCAGTGCCAGCAGAGCTTATTCATGATTCATGTGTTCCGATTGGTTGTTCCTTTCGACTGCCGAGCGCATAGTTTCAACAGGAACGGCAGGCGCAGATAGCTAGACGAAGAACAAAGCGAGCAGATCAACAAATGCATGAGTGGGGCGCATATGATCTCTTGTACGGTATATGCAAATGAAACCAGATTCCTGAAACTATGATTCTGGCGACGGCCAGGCTCGCACACGCCGAGAAAACCTTGGCGCAGTTGCCTCAGTTGCTTCATGACAGTTCCGGGGGCAAAACAAAGGCATGCCACGAGGGTAAATGGACGGTGGAAGCTTGAACGAGAGAGATGATTATGCAGCTCAGACTGTGGGATACTTTGATGCTGTTACGGTATGGTGATGGCGAAGCCGGTGCTAAATTGTGATGCGGCCTGGGTGTACGTGTTTCGGGTGAGGGCCGGCGGTTGATTGCTCTTCGAGCGCCCGCAGGGTGACCTCGTGCACACCAGCTGCCCCCATTAGCCAGAAGCGCATTTCCCGTCTGCCAAAATTCGACCCATCCCAGACGTCCGAGTGCTTGTCGCAGCAGCGAGGTCGATGCGCAAACACGAGTATGTGCGTAGACATGCATGTATTTATGTATGCCTGCCTGCATTTGTTTACATGTGTACGTGAGCATGTACGACCGCACGCGCACGTATGCAGGTATGCTGCTATGCTTATGCATGCAAGGGATCCTGACGACAGGTGTCGTTTCTGCACCGTCTCACATATTGCAACAGTTGTTGTTTTGAACCGCGGCCTGCCAAGAATGCAAGGCAATCCGAATCATAGTGACAGCTCATGTTTTTGGAACGAAGTCGCCAAGATGGGGTGGCTTGGAGCCGGACTCTGCGAGACACTTCATTGACCTGCGCGGAAATTTGACGACTGACATCGCTGTATGGCATCTTGATATTGCCGTGAGGAAGGGGAGCTGTTGCGATCCCCATGATTGTCGTCGCTTCACCCGCACCCCAAACAAGGGGAATCGCCTGCTCACGGGAGGAAAGGGATTCCCCAACCCCAAACACCCACAGATCCTTTGAGGAGGCCGGGTCAAGGAATTTCGATTCCACGAAAAGAAAGGCAGACGGAAGCCCAGGGTGGTACGATCAACTTCAGTTTAGCTTTAGTTCCAGTCGGTTTGTCGCTGCGTCCACAAGCGTCTGGAACATGACCGAAGCGTGTCGAAGCCGTAGGCCGTAGATGTCCTAGACGGGGACCCGAAGCCGAGGATGCTCCGCTCTCGTACGGGGTCTCGAGGGCCGGCCCCCCAGAGCTTTCGAGGCCGCACAAGAGGGCTTCCTCCTCCTTTTTGCTGCATCTCCGAGGCTCAGCCGCTGAGAGAACTGACCTGAAGCGATGGTTTTTGGGGATGGGAGGCCATGGTATGCGCACCGCCAGACCCGCGATTAGTAGGGTTTAGGGCCCTGCGAGCCTACAAAGTGCAGGCATTAGGATTGGCTCAGGGAGGCCGCCTGCCCTGCCAAGTCTGCACTGTGACTTCAGAATATGCTTCTAGCCGTTCTGGCCAGCGATGGTGACGACGCCCTCTCGCAGGTCTGGCTATGTCTATGGCTATACTTTGTTTGTTATCTTGCTTTCTGGCTTCCGCGGCCGCGATCATGGGAAAAGAGGTAGGTGGCAAAGCGGGCGGCGGAATTCTCCCGCTGCAGGGCCTCGGCTCGGGAGGCGCCTCCCGGGCCCGGGTTCGCAAAGCGACACGGGGACCCGCGGCGGGATCTGCACGTTACGTGAGCGTGAGCTCAAGGCTCCAGCTCCGAGATTGGGGGAGAGAGGGTGCGGAGGGGTCCGACTCACGTAGGCCAGGGCCATCGAGAGCACCCGCAGACGCAACAAAAAGAAGAAGCACCTGGCCGGGGTGTGCCAGGCCAAAGCCTGCAAAGCTGCGAAGAGCACAGCTGTTGTGATGCGGCACAATCACATCCTAAACATGTGACAGTCTGACCGGAATGGTGAGTGCCACCCATACTGCCTGAACCTGTGCGGCTTGTGTAAGAGGCCCTGTTATTTGATCGGCACAGACGTACGTTGCTGCAGTTGGGCTCACGGTGACCACACCTTTCAACGATGCAAGAAGCTCGAGCAAGTTTCGAAGGTTCATGCGGCATCACTGCATGTTTCGGTGTGGACACCGAGGCCTTATTGAGAATACCACAGGGAGCTTCTCAGAGCCTTCAGTGCCCAGCAGACGAAAATAGCATCATGGAGTGTTTCGCAGGCTCACGGCTTAGCTTAGGACTTAGAAAGTGTCGATCAATCCGACAGTGGGAGACTGTTGAAGTTGAAAGAGCCACCGAATTCTGCGAAGTCTTACAAGGTCTCGCATGGCATATTTATCGTTGTAATGTGCGGTCACCCGGAGCCCCCATGCATGCACCAAGCTGATGGATGAAGATGGCAGGCATCGATACACAGGACGAGCTGGGTAGGACGATGAATTCTTTGCAAAGTTGGGCACGCGCCGCAGCGCAACTTCTACAGATATATGACTAATATGATGCTCGACACGAAACGCGACAGCTCAAGTTTCAGCTCCAGGAGACGGAGACGGCTTCGACCTGGCAGGCAATGCCCTTTCCGATGGAGGAGCATGGTCAGAGCGATTGTCGAACCGTATCGGAGCCTTCCGCAGATGTTGACCCCACACGCCCCCACACACCCTACACCTACCGACCTACCTGTCCCGACTTGGCGAGCAGGCCTGGTCTCGCACGTGCCAGTTTTTTTCAGCGATTCACCTGCATGCTGCCGAGTCGCAAGCACACTGACGAGAGTCTACGTGCGACGTATGCAAACCTACAGCTCCCCTCCTGTATTTGCGCCCGTGTTTGGCCGATCCGAAAAGCAGAACCGTGGAATCATGGCTTTCAACCTTCTGGGTAGAAGTTGAGAGCCTACGGCCTCCTCGGGATGCTGAAGCTGCCCGCAAGCAAGCCGTGAAACCGTGCCCGGAGGAGGCAGTTCTGCTCAAAGCGCTTTGCCTCAGCCTGCGCCTCAGAAGCTTCAGGGTGGCGCGGCTATTATGGGGCGCAGCAGTACCAGGCCTGAGGCTACGTATACGGCGGTGGGGAGGTAGCAACAAAAGCTCGGCGTTTTCTGGATCGGAGGTTTCAGAGCCACTCTGAGTGGAGTTTCCGAAGGGAGCCTTCGGCTCCCGAAGGCGAGTGGTAAACCGTCAGAACCTGACGCCCGCAGCGAAAATCCTTCGTGAGGCGATCCGCCACTGTGATTTCTTTGCTCTCCGGAAGGCCGGGGGGCACAAGCCGAGCTGGCACGGAGCTATAGGAGTGGCTATAGCTTCGCTTGTGCACCTGTCTCGCATGATTGCGAGACTACGGCAGACGACAGCGCTGGACTACACAACACAAGTGCCAAAGATTCGTGGGTCTGGTGTCCGGCCGTGATCTGATGTGCGATGCAGGTCCGGCGCCGAGCTAGAATACTTCCTCCGGGTCTTTTGGGTGCCGGCAGCGGCTTTCGCGGCAGCAGAGGCAGTTACCATGACCACATCTAGCAGAATCTATCTCTGTAGGTCACGGCAAGCACTGAGCTGCCAAATCGAGCTGCCTAGAACATGGACCTGCAACATGGCGTTTGTGCTCAGATGCTTACCTTCCTGGTGCGGCGGGCCAGCTTCTTCGTCCCGATGGCATGACTTCTGCAGAAACCCACAACAAACAGACCATTGAATCACGGGGTCGTTCCGGAGACACGATGCACCTCTTCAGCTGAAAGTCTGCGGTGTTGCGCAGTTTGCACATTTCTGAACTCTGTTCTTCAAGTTGGTTTGGGTGGCTTCTGTAAGAGATGTTGCCAGGCATCATACAGCATGTTACTGTTTGAGTTGCGAGAGCGCAGAAAAATATGCGTATGCTTGCGCCGGACTTCTGTGCCAGGTTGTTTTGACCGCCGCGAGCTCAGCTGTTGTGAACACACCAAGCCCATTCCGGAGGCCCGGTTGTCGTAGCTTCCCACGGCCACTGAGGACAATGCTTTTGAAGTCGGCCCGACGTACAGCAAAGTCGTCGAGGCATGTTGCAATCCTCCCCTGTGACAGTTGCCGCCTTGCTGTGGCATCATATCGCATAGCCTCATGGTTCAAGCGCAGGTCCATGTTTGGGCAAGCATCGCGATGTGGAGTTTGGCAGCCGCGCCTTGCCTGGCAAAAGGGCGGGCAGCGGGCTTGTATCATAATTGAACTGCCATAGCGGAGTATTGAATGTACTGTAACAGTTCTTCCCATTGCGAATTCTCGCATAGCCTCTCCCTAGCTTGAGTTGCTTCTCGGCGTGAGAGGTGCAAGTCCTGGGTGAGCAGCTGCGTCGGCGGCGCGACCTTGCTTGGATCCATCGCTTGGCGGGCCAGGCGCTTTCACTCAGAGCCTTTGGGGTTCACTTCTGTTGATTCTATTAGCCTCTCTTGCTATTCTGCGGTGGCTCCTGTGCTGATACGCCGTGAAGCCCAAAGCCTGAGCCCTTGAGCGAGAAGACCCCATAGCTCAGAGGGCTGATGGACTGTACCGTTAGAAAGCACAGCCCCTTTGGTCTACGCGTTTGACTCACTGTCACTGGGTTGTATTCGGCTGACGGTCTCCGCAGGCCATGCTGTTGCTCTTCTTTTTGGTCGTTCTGCCAACCAGCCTGTACCTATCTGCGCTGCAGCACCTTGGCCCTGACAGAGGACAGACCTGAAGCTTTAGATTCCTTTACTTAGATCGGGACGATTGCAAGCGAGGGAAGGTAGGCGACCCGGGGCACCTCGGGCTCCGGCCCGGGGTCTCCGGGGTCGGCTGCGAGGCGCATCGACGTCCTGGCTCCGGCCGTGCCTTGGCCAAAGATGGCTACTGCTACTGCTTTGGAGAAGGTTCCTCGTGTTTGGAAGGGGATATTCCTTCTCCTACTCCTACTTCTACTACTCCTGACTGCTCCTGCTGCTACTACTTCCACTACCACCCGCCGCCACCGGCACAACTAGCACTGCGACGACGGCGCGCTGACGACGACTTGGACTACGATTACGAGCATTACAACCGCACTTTTGCCTCCAGCTGTGAAAGAGAATGCCCCGGCTACTACGATGATTACTGCTGCTCCTCCTTCGGATTCAGAGATGGTAAGGTTGCCGCGGTGCTTCTGGATACGGCGTTTTGCACTGCATTCTTCCTGCGACTTGGTCGAACATACAGCCTCAGAGCTTCTGCTAACTCCACTTGACTCCTGGCTAGGAAGCCCTGTGTCAACCCTCGTTCTTGCGACCTGCTCTCCATGCCTTCCGAAAAGGTATCGGGGCTGGCGGGTCGCGCGGCTTCGGGCCTCGACGGGTCCTTGGCGAGCATGAATGGAGTCCTCAGCGCTCTGCAGAACTCTGGTTCCGCCCCTGATCTTGAGCCCAGAGGTCGAAATCCCTTGCGGTGCATGGCAAGCTGATGCAGTGCGGCACCATGATGCCACTTGCATTCCAGAAGCGTTTGCATGAAGGTAGAGACTCTGTTCATGCAGTGTTGGGGAGTGAAGAGAAGATCCGGGCTGTGCCTGTTCGATTTCGCCCAAAGAAGCTCCCCACATTGGCTGGCGGGCTAGCGGCCAAACATCGCAACAGTCGGGACAGTCGGGACCTTCAGAATAGGCTCGGAGGCTTGAGTAGGTGTGCCAAATGCCAATCATCTCGCTTGATTTCTCACCGACAAGGAGCATGGCCATCTTGCCCCAGCGTTTCTTGCAGCTGTACCTGACGATGCAGTTAAAGGGCCACCATCAGGCAGGCGGAAGGAAAATGTGGATTTAGATTCTTTTTGGGGACCTTGGGTGTCTGAGCCAGATGCCATCTAATGCGAAGGCAGGGCAGGTAGGTGTTCCGATGGCACGCCATGTTTCACCCCCTTCCATGACACGGAAACAGAGATAGTGATGTTTTTGCATGCCCACCTCTCTCGCATTCTCTTTTTCTCGTGCCTGCATACGAACCTCAAAAGGTACATGCATAGCTTCGCTGCAAGCGGTGCACTTCATGTTTCTGGTTTCGTGTATTACACATACTTGTGTCTTAGAGCTGCGGACGACGTGTAAATCCTGGCGTGCAGGACATCTCATCTCGTGGGCAACATTCAGTAAGTATTCAGCAACTCAGCAAGGTCTGCCTGGCTCAAGACACAACTAAGTCAAGCAAGGTCAACTAGCGTGGTATATCTGTCACAAGCGGGGTGCATCTACCGAAATCAGGGGCCGTGTAATTGCCGTCCCCGACGTCTTGCCTACATATAGACTCGGTCGGAGCTACGTACCCCAAGCGGCCCAAGCGGCTTCTCCGTAGGTGAACTACTCCGCCTCCATCCTGGTGACCTCGATCCTCTTCTTCGTCTTCGGGCACTTCCAAAAAGGACCGAGAGGCCGGAGGAAGAGAGTGCAAATCGGAGGGAGCCCTTTGAGGGCAGAGCTCCAGAGCTCCGACCGAATCTGCCGCGGCCTAGGCTTCATCTGGATGAACTGCATCGGCAGTGACAATGCTGAAGAGGCGAGGACGGGACAAAGACTCACCTTGGTTTGCCAGCGTGCTAGAGTCTTCATACTACAGAAACATGCGAAGGGATGCGAGAAACCGCCCGGCATGGGACACGAGGCATTTGGCTTGGAAAACTGTTGCCATTTTTCGGCTTTTGCTTTGAGGCCTTTGGCAGCCGCCATGCCTCCCCACTGGAGCAGTGGAGCTGGAAGCTGCGATGGTACGGGGCTCTGTCTTTGCATATCGTGCGCATGAGCACAGGAGGCCAGGAGGTGAGGTGGCGTGGCCCACGTGGCACAGAGCTTGAATCGAAGAGCATCCGTGAGGCTGGCTTACGTGCCCGTCTACTACGCGATGCGGTTTGTCCTCGAGTAGAGCCCCGCGGCGGCTCCGCGGCTCCGCGTCGCTGTCGCTCCCTCGTGGAGTCCCACCGCCCAAGGCCCAGGGTGTACTGCCGCGGTGAGGAGCCTTTACGGCCTGACGACGGGGCTCGACTCGCAAGATTCGAGCCTGGACTCGCCAGCGGGACTTCGATCTGCTGGCAATGTCCGATCACGTGGGACGGGAGCAGAGCTCTTCCCTCACCAGCTGCGGCTCCTCCGATCACAGGGGAGCGGCCTCCACATGCCAGGGGCAGAGCTCTCAGGAAAAGCGCTCGAGTTGTTTGGTGCTGTCACGGCCAGCCCTTGAGTGAGCTGAAACCCATGAACCATACGGAAGTAGAAGTTGACGAGTCGCAGCCATATATCTTGGCACCGACCAGCCGGATGAGGAAGTAAGGGAAGTGCTCGATAGATACAAGTCACTGTAAGCCAAGATATATACAGAATGTTCTGACTGACTTGGCTACTCCTCTTTCCCCAGAGAACCTCGCGTAGAAGAGCAGAGCCCCCACAAAAGGCAATCAGCCGAATCAACACACACAAAAGCCGAAGCTCGCCCTTGAAACCTCCTCGGATGCTGCCCGGCTTTCGTTTGGACTTTCGTCAGCGGATTTGGCTGCTCCTGTGACTTGCCTGCACCGGGGAGTGCACAGGTCATTGTTATAAACCGCTGGTGAGGGTCGGAGACGAGTGAGGAGAGGATTCGTGCCACGGTCTTTTGGTAGATATCGGTGACCGCCCATGGATTCGCCAGAAGCACACGAGCCGCATGCTAAGACAAGTCTTCCAGAACATGAAGAGTGCAGCTCGTCGCAAGCATGGCCAAGTGCGATGATAGCAGCTAATGTATGACATTACTACGCGACGACATGGGAAGATGGATACTGGGCAGAGTCGGAACACGAAAGCACTACAATCACTACACGTGGCCCCTTGGCTAAGTCTCGTAAATGCCAGTGTTCAATACTAGGAACTGTCAGAGCATGACTGCGTCCATTGCAGTGCGATCGAGACGATACTTCAAGAGACAGCAACAAAGACTACAGCAAGAGCAAGAATGGCCGCATTAAGTGTAGACGACTGCTCCATCCGTCGTAGAGTGGTGGGTCGTGAACCTGATCTAGTCCAGGTTGCAGCTTCGTGGATGGTGGCAACCATGGCAGGCCTTGGCACCTAGGTGTCCTCGCTTTGGTTCACAACTTCACAACTGCGGAAAAAGCAAGGAAACCAGCAGCGGAGCTCCAACGCAGGTCGAACATCGATGGTCCGAGACAACTGCGAAGGTGGCAGTGCGACAGGCAGAGTTCTTCACATGCGTGCGTCGAGGTCAGAAGTTGTGCTTGTTTGCAGATGTACTGAAGTTGACTTGACGCCGGGCCCTTCGGCTACTGGTGACGTGAGTGCTAAAGCTTCGTACTTGAAAAAGGACGAGATTTCGAAAGCGTTGGAAGAAGACGGAATTGCAAAGCAACCGCTCCAAGGGCGAGATGTGCCACTAGACAGGCACGGCCTACATCGGCGACGGTATCGCTTCACTTCCTTCAAATCTCCGATGTAACCTTGGCTGCAATTATACTGGACGGAGAGGGTGCTGTTATTGACCTGAGATGAAAAGCAGAGCTGGCGAGCTAGTAGATTCAGCTTGTGCGGCAGCAGTCTCGGAGACCAACAGCGTAGCGCTGCAACCTGGCCAAGTCCCACATCACGCTCTCGCCGCTGTCTGGTCAAGAAGTAGTGTACGGCAAGAGGCGGGACGGTAAAGATGTGCAGTGTTTGATATTTCTGTCGCTCGGAACTGCAACGGATCATCACTGCTGCGCCTTCCCGCTTTCAGTTCGAGAAGGATGCACGATGCCTTTTACGGCGGCTCGCCGTGCTTGTGGAACAGATCCACTGCCGGGGCCCATGCTGCTGCCTGGTTCGTGTCGCTGCAGAGGTTGATAAGGGACTCAAAATAAGGACATACGCACATGCCTTTTTTGCAGGGATATCCCCAGGTTTTTCGGTCTTCAGTATACGGGGGTGTATATGGGATTTTCCTCTCCCAGTGTTTGCTTACATGCTTGTTGGGGCCCTAGCTGAATCTGAAACTACTTCACTCAACTTTGCCATCGTTCTGATCCTTACCCAAGCTGCCGGCGATCACTTAAGTCTTGAAATCCTTCACGTCTGAACTTTGAGAGTTCTACTGGTCTGATGATGGACAACACCTGAGGTTCAAACTGCCCCCATGTTCCGCGAACTTGTGGATGTGGCTGCTTCAGCTGCCGTCGACGTGCTGGCCTAAGCAGCAAAGTCTGCAAATGCCCGCTCGGAGGTCCGTAGCAAGAAAAGCCCATGAACGGGAAGAAAGGTGGTAACGCCATCTGCAACAAAAGAAAAGAAGACATCTACCAGACATTTACTTACTGCAGCAGCAGTCGTCGTCGCTGTTGTTGTAGCAGGAGGAGCAGTGGCAAGAGCTGCTGTCGTTGAGAAGTATCGCCACAATAGCCAGCTGTCCGTCTTCCAGCAGTGAAATAGGGGCACAGCACTGACAAGCAGAATTTCCTGCCCTGTTTCTTAGGAACAAGTTCTGCGCAACACACGTAGAGACTCATGTCCCTGCCCTTCGGTATATCCCTGCAACTTCCAACTTCCCGCAAGTGCTTGGATCATATCGTAACTTGGTGCACGAGTCTATCGATCGTCACACTCTGTATTTTTGCAGGTTCCCTCCTTACAGCGACAGTCCGAACTGCCCAAGGCCGTTCTGCTTTCGGGTGACATCGTGAGCTTTCCCCAGGCCTGTGCTGAGCGCATGGAAGCCCTGCAGCCACAAAAATATGCACTGGCCCGCCCGCACGGGCCAGTCAACCCGAGGGTCACCTAAATGCACACGACAGTCCCACGAGCCGGCAAAGAGTGCAGCGAAGAGGGGCCCGCAGGCCTCCGCAGTCGACACGGTCAGCGGCCTTCTCAACGAGACCATGCGGCGCGCGCATTTGCAGATCTCGCTGCTGCGTCAGCTGCTGGTTGAGATGTTCCGGTGGCTGGCGGGTCGTCGTCACGGTTAGTAGAGGTACTGCTGCGACTGACTGTGGTGGTGGTGGTGCTGCTGCTGCAGTTGAGCTTTTATACACACCATGCGCCTAGAACAGCCATGACTCGTGGCGCGTGTAACCATACAAACTGAGTAGCGGGTGAGCTCCAAAGCAAAGCATTGAATGGAAGAAGCTGAACAGGATCAGAGCCTGGGATGTTCCTGTCCGGACTGAAGCTGTTTGCGCTTGCCGGCATTCTTCCTGTCACGATTCCTACTCACCCTACCTTCGATATTTGAGCGCCATCATCATGGAATGGTCACACTTAGTTTTTGCGTTTGTGGCCACCTGTCGGAGGTACAAATGCGGGCCTCAGCAGGGGCGCCGCATTCCCCACGTCTTCACCAGTGGGAATCATGACTGGTCGCGTGCCGCAATTGGTTTGAGAGAAGCCCCAGACTCATCCAGCTCTTCTCTATGGCCCATTTAGAGCTTTGCTGAGCAGGTTTCTCGAGGGCCTTCCGGGAAGTCAGCCGGAGCTTCAGAGAACCTGGCGGTCGTCAGCGGCTTAGCCATGCCCACTTTCCTTGGTTCGCTGAGTAATGCTTGCCTTCTTTTCTGCAGGAAGAGTCTTGAAGAAAACGCTAGGAGACCGGCGCTAGGAGAAGCCAGGTGAAGGCAGTATTCAGTCAGGGTCCACAGGGCATAGTTGCTGCAGCAAGTCTTTTTGGTCGTTTTTGTGAGCTGTTAGGCATCGGCCACCCAATCCAGAGCTCGCCTTCTGCATAAGGTCTGCGCTGCGTCCGCACGGCTGGCACTGCTTTGGGATGGCCATGAAGGAATTTGCCAGACTTCAGACATGCACAAAGTGAAAGCGTCTTTGTGGAACCTCCTGTCGCTGCCAGGCTGTATGTCTCCAGCGCAACATGGGGTGCGGGACTTGGGCGAGTGCAGCTTGAGAAAGACTTGCGAGGCACGCTTTCTGGACTTGAGCCTGCTTGCAAAAATACGATTTTGAAGCTATAAGCATTGCAAGCTGCAATGGTCAGGCGGGCCATTAGGAAGCAGTACGTCGCGATGAGCAGAAACAGCCTGAACAGCGGACAGCAGCGACCAAACGATCAGTCTAGCACGGGTTGTACATGACCAAGTCTACTTGTACATAAGTACGCAGACCTGCCGAAATTAAAGCTCACGCGTCTCACTTCGAAAAGTGAAAGACAAGCAAAAAGGATACAATCCGAGGTGACTATCCGCAGTTCGACTACTCCAGTGCCTCAGCTGCTTCGGATCGGTTGCAGAGGATCAGACCTAAGACGTCACAATGGAGGTGTAGAGGTCGTGCGATGAGACTCTGCTACTTGTGGGGGGCCCTCGAGTGAAAATCCTCCATCCCAGGCATGGAGGTGGAAGGCGTGCTCCTGGTAGTCATCGACAACTCACGCTACCAGGCAAAGGGCTCCCTTGCATGTTGTCGCCGGTTACAAGGCAGCGCCATCATCCCCGCTTAATTGGCAAATTGATCCTGCCACGCGCGGCTGCGTGCTACTACTTTGCCAATACTTCTTGCTAAGTGTTATGCTGACAGTATGCGGTGCCCCTGGCTGCCCGGCCATGGACTTTTGCTGCTCAAGGCGAGTCCCATGGGAAAAGGCTCCACATCACCTGCCTGTCATTGCAAGCAGCTGATCCCCAGACCAGAGGTGTCCCATGCGCAGCTGGCCTTCTTCCGGGAGCAAATGCTTCGCTGGCTGCCCACTGCTTCGGCCTCGAGAAGACACCAAGCGCATTCTGATTCTTTGCTTTGCCCCAAACCCCAACAAGGCCCCCGTTACTCCGTTACTGTATTCCTTTTCGGCACAGATCTCTGGAACTGCTGTCCAGCCATGGCCCTGCGGCGAAGTTCTTTCGAAGCACTCGGCTTCAGAAAGCCAGGTAGTCGTGGACGTTGCGTCAGAGCTTCGGTTCATGGCGCACTTCATCAAGGTGAAGGACCTGACGCCTAGCTCCCTGAACGTGGATTTGATCGTGAAGGTCGGCCGATTTGGGCGTGTTCTTGCCTGTCTGTCCCCGTGAAGCACCCCACTCTCTCGCTCTCTCTCTCTCTCTCTCTCTCTCTCTCTCTGTCTCGTGTCTGTCTGCCCCGTAAACGGCGGCCTGCATGCCACGTAACGTCCACCACATCCTTAGCCTCTGTGGGCATCAGGACCACGCACAAGTGCAAAGCGCTGTTGCATCTCGTTCGCAGAAGAACACCGTTAAGCCCCTCCCAGATCGTCTGCGTGCACGCACACTGTGAGCAGACTCAAGCCGACTTCGCTCTCGGTTGAACGGCGACAGCACATGGTGATGTCGGTGGGGAGCACAACCAAAGACATGAGCTGCAGTATGGCCCTCTTTCGTTGGACGGAGCCGGTGCTCCAGCTGATATCTGACGAACGAAACTAACGAAACTGCAACGCTCTTCGCTGGAACACCGCTGAGCACTGCAGTTCTGCACGCTGCTGTCTAGACATGGGACCTTCAGGATTTGTCCGAGCCGCGAGTAGTCGTGGGAAAGGGGAGGCCAGCAGCAGCAAAGATGACACTGCGAGAGTACACGTTTCATGTGCCAGGGCTGGTCGCGTAAAGAGGTGCCCGCATACCAACGCTGACTCATCTCCAGCGAGAAGCGTCGTTTTCATCTCTCGTTCTAGTTTGAGTCAAGTCTTGGTGCTGATGCGACGAGAACAAGGAGGTCCTTTAATCATAGAGACCTTGTCCGAAGCCCCGTCTGAAGGTGCTGGCATCGGACGGGCGCCTGCAGTGCTTGTCCGGAGCTGGGCTGCAGCTTGCTTGTGTCACCGTCGGGGACGAGACTGGCACCGTCTTTGGAATGACATTCGGAATCTTTGTCCTTTGGGTATTGCCTTCACTCTGGTAGATTCGGTTGCTTTCAGCCAAGGGTTTAGCTGCTATGAGCGTTGCTATGGCTGTGACCATGTCTTGGTCTTTTAGGTGATGTTGCGGCTAGCGGCCCAGCAGGCTCGCCTGTGCGAGCCTGGTGCTACGTTGGTGCTGCGAAGTGCACGAGCAGAGATGCTGCCTGGACAATTTCAAAGAGTCTTACTTCAAGACTCCTCTGAGAGGTCGTAGTTTGTCCATTTGTTGAAGCTTCAGCAGGTTTGCCGGGCAACTCCGCCTAGAGCTGGGCAGATGGAGCAGGGTCAGCGCCTTGGGCGACGCGGCGCTCTTCGCCCCAAAGATTCAGAACGACGTCTCCTCGAAGGACTCGGCACTTCCGCGTGCTCTTGAGATGGCTTGTCTTTTGCCAGTGGTTTGGAGGAGTCGGTTTCTAGGAGCGTCCCAGAGCCCAGGAATACGCCGTCGACCAGAGCCAGATACTCAAGAACTGTCGGAGGCAGAGTCGCGATGCCGCGGATGCTCCATGACGAGCACTCGATGACGCGACATTGGACACTCGATACACGAGTATTTCACACGAGACAGTCGCGGCCCACGTCGTCAGTTTCAACGCGCGCATGTCTCGGGTGCCTCCGCACAAGCTGCCGATGCAGCCTCGGGCTGACTTCGAAGCTGAGCAGAGCCACGAGAGCCAGAGAATCGCGCAGCGATGACGCTGCGGGTCGATGCAACCGAGCCACAGAATCGCCCTGCAATCTGATCAGCTGACGGAGCGCCGATTTCAGGCGAGGATGCCTAGCCCGCCGCGAAAGGACAAAACAACTGCACGAGCCATGGGTAGACGAGCTCGTGCTGACCGATTGCAAGACTGTGGGGCTTTCGAGTGGGAGGTGTGGCCAGGTGGGAGGTTAGATAACTCTTGGCAGCCGCTTTGTCTAATCTGGGCTCGCGACGCCTCCAAGCCTTTGAAATTTGGTGCCTCAACGACAATTTGCACCTGTGAGGTGCTGGTGCTTCATGTGCCGCTCTCGCTGACAGACAGTTTGCGGCCGCATCGCGGCTTCGTCTTGCCACGATCTCAGGAGTCTAATGAAGAAGTCTGCGCGACCGTTGCTTTGGAACTAGTAGAAAGTCTGTGGAAGACAAGGACTGACAGGGTTGAGGCTCGAGGTAGGCTGGGCTGTAGAATGGCTTCCAGGTGTGGTGATCCTGCTTGGGGAGAGGCGGCTCTGCAGTTGCCCTGCGAATGCAACGCATGTCACAACAAAATCTGTCATTCGGACTGCTTTGCTGCAGAGGCCACAGATCGATCCTGGCGAGATGAACGACGGGATCCCTGGCCGAAGGAGAAGAGTCCTGGCTTGAGGCAACAGAAAGGGAGGAGCGAAGTCAGGATTTGATTAGTTTCGGTGGATTTCGAGTCCCTGTTGCCGTTGCGAGCCGGCAGGAGGGCAACGACCGTGCGACTGAGCTTTTCCTCGAGGCGATGAGTTCTTGAAGCCTTGTTGCTTCGCTGATGAAAGGCTCTTGAAGACGACCGCCCTGTAACACGCAATTTCGGCTCGAGAAGGGGCTGCTCTCTGCTCTCCTACATTCAGATATTTTTCAGATGGGTAACGGTGAGTGATTCAATGCCAACGGACAGGCAGTCCAAGCAGCTGCGGCGCCGGCCGGGCCTCTTCTTGCTTGGGTCCCAGGGGGGCCCCAGCCCAGAGTTTCACAGAAGCCCTTTGCTTTGCGAGGCAGTCTTGACCGGCCACACCCATGGTCACGATGCGACCGTCTTTGGACGCTCCGAGGCCTTTCCAAAACTCAAGAGGCTTTCACGGCGTAGCGTACACCTCTTCGCAGCTTCAAGGGGAAGCCAAGAGATTCCGCCTCTGCTCGCAACGTGCTACACCTTGTCGCCACCCATAGACTACACATGTAGTCGACATTGAGGTCATTGAAAGTTGTGTGTGTCCCTTCTTGGTCACAGCTGCCCACTACTCGCGTCTTTTCTCAACCCGACTCTTCCGTTCTCCTCAGCTTCAGACTCTTTGGACCGTAGGGCTTCCATGGGCTTCCAGAGTCCCGACCAGGAGGCGGGTTATGACAGCAGTCCTTCGGACACCGTGCCGTCTGCTGTCCAGTGACCCATGTGGGCCCGGGGTCCAGGGACAAGCACAGCAACTTAACTGCCTGCAGGTACATTTGCGAGCCTTCCATGCGGGGCGGCCATCGTTTTCTGAACGTGCTCCGACCCGAAGAATGTGCACATGTTAGCCGAGAGGGCCGTACATGCTCGCGGCAGGTGGTTCTGACCTCCGCCGAAGGCCCGGGTGAGAGTCGAGACAGAGGGATCGCTATTACCCCAGCGATTGAACACACCGTCCTTTCGTTGTGAATGGTTCGCACTTACACGAGAGGACCTTGTCACTGAGTCTCTGAAGGTCGTTCTTCCCGACTTTGCAGTTCCAACGCCAGTCAATTCTGTGCCGAGGGTGGGCCTACATGCAGCACCATCGACATGATGTGTGATCTTGTCTATGGCACGTCAAAAGCAGAAGCTCAGCTCATTCTCATGAGGCAAGTCCCTGTTTTCAGCAATGTGAGAGGACAAATCGATGATGCAGTGAAAAGGAGAGACTAACCCAGAAAGGAGGAAGCTACGGTACATTCAGACCTGTTACGAAGCATGGAGCCGTAACAAGCTGCAGCTCGGAGACGCAAGCCTACAGCACTCCGACGGGATTCCTATTGCGAGATGGGCTCACGACCTGTCATCTCAGTCTTGGCCAAGCTCGGCATGCCATGGCTGTGTCCCCTTGTGCCATTTGCCCAGTGTCCATCTTGCGCGAGAACGAAAGCCTAGCACAGCGTGCCAGAATCCCTCGGAGTCACTTTGAGCAAGCGCACGGCCGCCGTGTCCTCGGAGTGAGCGTCCGTGGGGCCTTCAGCGAACAGACTACTGGTAGGACAGACTAGGACCAGGAATTGCAAGAAGGCGGGATGCTGAGAGTAGTGGAGAGAGCGTTATTCAAAAAGCCTGCATTTGCGGAATTCGTTGGAACTTCTCAGGAGAACCTTGAACATCTACGCTGATCGCAATGAACCCAAGGCGCATGACTTACTGTTGGGCCTCACCTGGGCAGCAATGAAAACAGCATACGAGCTTGGAGCCCGGAAAAGACCAGCTTGGCTTGCTGCCCTTTCTGATTGTTGGCTAGTCTAGATTCGTTGAGTATCGTTTCTCCCCAACTCCTCACCCCACCACCGTCCACGAGTCCGGAACCCACCCACTCTTGGCACCGCTCAGCTTTGCAGAATTCATTTGTCCTCTCCTAGCGTTGGCTGAGGGGGCCCGGGCAGTCAGAGAAGACTGGCTTTCGAGGCCCGGCGAAGATCCCGAGATCGAGCACGATCTGGCGATGCCACCTCAGCGAAAGGGACGCAGAAGATTTCGGAGCCAAGTGTGGTCCTTTTTGCTTCGGATGGGGCTTCGGGGCTACTCGGTGTGCTACTGGCACATCAGCATGTCTGCCAAGTGCAAGTGGAAGGGAAGCCCCTCGCTCTCAGGTGGCGCTGCTGGGGCGGCATCAAGAATCTTGAAGCAGCGGCAGCCGACATCGAGCAGCCGGATCGCATTTATCTCCCGCCCTGCCCAAGCTTTCAGCCCGTCGTTCGAGCGCCTCTTCCACGGCCGTGCGCTTCCGCAGACAGTGAAGCCCCGCGCCGCGCTGAGGTTGACAGCGGTGGCCCGGCCGCCCAGCACGTGTTCCGGGGCAGCGGAGGGAAGGCGACTGAGAGGGCCGAGCTGAGGCAGATGGAATTGATGCGCTTCTGCATCGCACCACCGAGGCCCTTCAGTTGAGTTGAGGGGGGGAGTCATTGAAGTCAAAGAAGCGGGGAGCTGGTGTACTCGCTCGCATCTTTAAAGAAGAGACTGCAGAACCGAGTTCTGAGTGCAGTGCCGGTCACAGGCTGTCAGGGCCGGCTTAGTGCTCGTGGCACACGGTCTGCCGGGGGCTCCAAGTCAGAGTCCTGCATGCAGAAACCAAGGTTTGCATGTTTAGGTTTAGGTGTTGGTCGTAACGTCATAGGGGGGTGCCCGCTGCTTCTCCAACTGCGGTCGGTCAGCTAGTCTGGCTCGCTCTTGTCGTGCTGCGACTGGAGATGCAAGGTTTTGTCCAGACAAGGCTCTTCTGAGCTGCCATTTTCTGCGAGGGGTTCTGCAGAAGCAGATCCGACGGGTAACGCATAGTAAAGGCAAGCCCTGATGCTCGCGAATATAGCCTGGCTCTTGAGCTCCGAAGAAGCAAGACAGCATGTCCTCGGTGGTTTGTCTCTTGTAGTCGGACTACCGTGTCCGAGTCAAACAAGATCTCTTTTGCTTGGTCTCATGCGGTCGTATTCATGTATCCTGCGTTTTCGGTGGCTCCCGGTTGGGATCCAGTGTCTTGGGTTCTTGTTTGCTCCCATTTGCTCTGTCTCCTCGGAGCGGCTGCGTTCTTCTCGCCCTTCGCACGGCCGCAGCTGCTCACCTGAGCTGGAGCGTTGGCTTTGTTGCACTCACGGTGGAGGCATGAACACATGTGCTACGTACCTCCCAATGGGCATTTGCCATCCATCAGTCCTTAACTGATGCATCTTTATACGTACTTGGGTTTGCTCCAGTTTACTTTTTCAGGCGGTCGATGTACACAGAAACTGACAGAAACGCGAAGCAGTTTCGATGTACATCGAATGAAACTAGGCTCCGCCAACGTGCAACCGCCTGCAGAGTCCTGTGCTCGCAAACAGAAGCTATACCTCCCGAGGGCGGTGTGGCTGGGCTGTAGGCTTTTGGAAAAAAGGACCGGTGCTGCGGCTCCTTCAAAATTTAAAATGTGTAATTCCGTGCACGCGTGCACTACAAGACACACACTCGCCACTCCGCGGTACACAGTTTACATGGAATGGAACGAGGTCCACCGGCAGAAGGTGCAGCGAGGGAGAGTGCCTTTCCCAGACGGCAGCCCTCGTGCTCCAAAGCTGCGACGACTGCGGCCCAACACCATTAATCAGTCAAACCTGAAGCCCGGGCCTTAGCGACACAAGAAATTTGAAAGGCAAAGGCAAAGGACCCGCTTGCACTGCTAGCGGTGGTGGAAATTGGCCTCCCGATGACGATGCAGCCACATCCACGGCGCCGCCCTGCCTCCAAGAAATCGCATCAGCTCATCTCGTCGCTGATGCTAAGCCGCTCGCTGCAACTCTGGACTACGACCGCTTTCGAACAAAGCAACGGGAGCAGCAAGAAAGAAGCCAGAACACAAGCGTACGACTGCATCAAACAAACCGTGTGCGAGCAAAAAGGGGCAAAGGCCTGGACGTAGGAGTCCGACTGCATGAAGCAAAGCAAAAAGGCACCAACAAGAAGCCAGGACACAAGACCACGACAACATCAAACCAAGCAATCGAGAGCAAACAAGAAGTCAGAACACGAAAAAGACACGAGGCCAGGACACAGGAGTCCGACCGCATGAAGCAAGGCAATCGGGAGCAAGAAACAACCCAGGCACAGGACTCGATCGCATCAAACACAGCGAAGGGAAGCAAACAAGAGCCAAGGACGCAGGTGTCCAAATGCATTAGTGAAAGCAACCTAGCAGCAAGGCAGATGTCAGGATTCCGACAGCATGAAACTGAGCAAGCATTCGCAGAAAACAAGAGCCCAGGACACGGCAGCCCGAAAGCATTTGTCCAAAACGGACAGGAGCAAGCCACAACGCAGGACATGGGAGTCCAGCCGCTTGAAAAAGCAATCGGGAGTACACCTGCACCGAAAACACAACAAAAACACACAGGAAAGCCGGTGGGACATATGTTCTGGCGTAAAGTGAAGTGTGGTTTGTCGCTTGTGCTTGCAAATCTTTGCTGAGGCGCGGGCTTCTGAAAACATCGACCAGCAGCTGTCAAGGCATTCGGGGTTCGGAGGCACTGAGTGCCAAACGAGGAACGAGGGCATGTCTCGAAAAAGCTGAGGGGGCTTGAAGAGACGGGACATGAAGGGACCCAGCAGAGTGCGAGAAATGAAGTCAAGTTGGGACAGGAGGTCGCATCTTTGCAACCTGCGAGAGCTGCCTGGAGGCTGGTCTTTGGGCATTGGGCTTTTGCTTGGACCTTTCGGATCTTTCGCTCGGACAGGCAGTGCAGTGTCTTCTGCACTTCCTGGCCCTTTGGGCGGACCCGATGCTCTCCTACTCGTTTGGGGCCCAGCCCCAGGCCCCGCTCTTGTGCAAGACTCACGTACTCGTAGCTCTTCGGAGGCCTGGTGTCCGGCTGGAGGTCGGGAACCCGTCCGCGTTTGCAGTGCACGCACCGTAGGTGCGCCGTAGGTGTGCCATAGGCCACCTGCCAAGCACGTCAAAAAACAGCGTGAAGCACGAGCGAAGCGCTGATAGTTGGCTTCCGACGTAGCGGTGTTTGTCTTCTCATCGCCTCGCTCGAGGTGATGGGCTGCACGATGCTGACGGAAATCAACCAGGTCCTCGGAGTTGAGCCATGTTTCCATGGGGACGGGAAGAGCAGGGACATGAATGTGAACGCGACTGTCCGGAGAGCGCTCAAAGTGTACGTGATCGGAGGCCATTTGGGCGTGGCAGGACGGCGACTGGGCCACATTTGGCTACGGTGTAGGCCAGGAGCAGGAGTGTCTGCACCTTGAAGCTGTGCTATGCTGTGCTACTCTGCTTCCTTCGGAATGCCAGGGAAGGCCCTTCTGGCTGCAAACTGCTCGCAGTCGCAGACTTGAAAACAGGTTCACCACCTCGGGTTGAATAATTGATTGGAGTGCTGGTCGTTTGTTGGGTTCAGGGCGTCTTTCGATTGCCTTTCGACTGCCACGCACACGTTCCATGCCTTGGTTACAGCAGTTCGCAGCAGAAGTCAGTCGCTGGCATCGGGCTCAAGACTGGCCGAGCTCCCGCACTCCTCGACTCCTCGAGGAGCACCTGACGATCTCACTGCGCTGGGGCTGCAAGTCTTTAAGCGCAGGCAGCTTGAAATAGCATTGTTGTCTTTGCCGCTGGAGCCCGCGATTTCTTCTGTGACACATCCTCGTGAACTAGCCAACAGTTGCAGGGGAACGTGCTACCAACAGGGTAACCTCACCGCGCGGACACAATCCTCTTCTGCACGTAGGTGTACTTGCTTGCTGACTTGTTCTTCCTTTGATAAAAGAGCTGCGAGCAAGTTAATATAAGCCTCAGTTCTGAGGCTTCTCGCAATCACACACGGCTTTGTAGTGATTGTAAGCGGTGTGGCTTGCGAAGTAATTTTTTTTTTGCCAGTGAGCTGGATGTCGAGCAGCCTCTGGGGCTCATGGTCTCTCTGTTACTGGTTACGACCGAAGAGCACAAGAGACGGACTGAGTCTTCTGCAGGGGGTATCGTGCCGAAACAACAGCCTAGGCTTTACGTTTTTTTCTGCACGGGCGGTGTATTAGGTGCACGAATGCTGCATCTTGTGTTCCCGACTGTCACAGCATCAGGCTGGCGATGTTGCTTTGATGTGCGACTCCCAGATCAAATTCGCAGGGCTTTCAAACTGTGGAGTGGCTTTACTTGAAGCAAAGTCGCAATTCTCTTGGCTGGCTCGAGGTTCACCCGTACGAACGCAGAAGGGGTGTTGCCGTGTTGCTGTTCTGTGTCTCATTTGGCGCGTTGTCTGAGGTACAGCTACCACCACCCGCCTCCGCCTCATTACGGCTACGCCCCACCGCCACCATCGGGGGCTTACGCGGCACAAGCGGCCTCGGGAGGCGACCCGCTGCGGGTCCCTCTTGTCAAAAGCTCTACGAAGTGATCAAGATCTTTCTCTGGTGTTCGAGTGCTGTGGGGAGGTGACCGCCTTTCATTCTTGTTGGGCCCGTCCTGTTTCAGCCATCCAAATCTTCCTTAACAACTGCTGAAACCGCTCGCAGAAAGAACACTTTCTGTACAGGTCACCCGCCACCTCCTGCATATGGCTACGGCAGCTATCCGCCGCCACCAGATGGCCACCCGGCACATCCGCCACGGCAAGAGGGCCATCCACCACCTCCGGCGTATGGCTACTACCCACCGCACGGGCCTTAATTTGAATTTGATGCTTTTTGACAGTGGCAGGTGTTCAAGATCTCCGAAGCACTGCAACTGCAGACGGAATTTGTTGATGGTGCCCCTTTGCATCTAGGGGCTCATCATCGTGATCCTCCCAAGTCGGAAGAGAGCCATTGCCGCCATTCTCCGCCCGCATGAACGACCAAGGCCCCCGCCTGGATATCCTGGCGGCTACCCCAGCCGGATCCCTGGCATCGGGGACTAGGGGAACGAGACGTGCTGCTTTATGTTCAGAAGCCGCAACTGGAATCGTGCGAAGTAATCTAGTGACAATGTGTTGATGTAGTGAAATGAAGTTTGTTGCACATTCGGCCAAGACTTCTCAGACCTTTGCACTCCAAGCCCAGACCCTGTGAGAAAGGCTGATGTAAACAAAGCTCCTTAACTAGCGGCTTCGATTGCTTCTCAGTGCAAACCGCAGCCACGTTGATGAGCAGATTCGACTGCGAACCCAGCAGCTCCAGCAGTCACGCCCACTGAGGCCACGGATATCCTCCTCCACCACACGGCTGGCATCCGCCACCGCCCCATGGCTACTGGCCGCCTCCGCTTGGAACCTAAACAGCTCAAACGCCACCGTGCTTAGTCCCCAGCAAGCAGCCTAGCGCAGTCTCTGGAGCTTGCGAGGGATGAAGTAGGCGTACAGCGAGACTGGTCGCCAGAGTGCACAGCAGCGGATCTTGTCGTTTGACTCTTTTCTGCTATTCTGGTTCATTATTGCTTTTCTGCTGTCTTTTTATCGAGGCCTGCGCACGGGTATCCGGGCTACTGGCCACCTCCGCGGGAGGCATCCAGAAGCAGGCAGGTGTCCTCTTGCAAGCACGACAAGTGCACTGTCGAATCTTCCCTACGCTCCGAATCCGCCTGGATGCAGTCGAACAGCTCGTGTTGCCAGGTCCCCTCGGAGGGAGGGAAAGTGCCCCTGGAAAGGGGTTCCAAATTAATGACATTGGGGCATCGGGTATGAGTTTTCTTGCGCTTCTTGGGCACATTGCGGCCAGCCACAATGCCTGAGAGGCTCTACAAGCTGCAAATCAGTTCCTGCCGAAATCTTTCGGTCAGGTACACCTGCCGATTTTTCATCGGAATCGACAACGACGTCGCCCCGACACGATCCAACACGGTTCAGAACCCCAGGGCCTAGTGTAGCATGGCCCAGAATGAGCCAGGATAAGTTCAAAGTTGCCAAGCGCATCATCGGTGCAAACGGCAGCAACATGAAGGCGACCGGCCCAGCGCCGGAGTTTTGGGCTTTAGTGGTTTTCATCCTGTTTCATCAAAGTTTACAGCTGGGCTGCAAAAAGGACAACGCTTCCGCGCTTTGCAATACCTTGAGGAGATCGTCAAAAAGTCGGGCGATGTCGCCAAGCTGCGGCTGCGTGGCAAAGGTTCAGGCTTCGCTGGCGCCCTAGTGCCCGCCTTCCGGCATGGCATACCACCGCCACAGCATCATGCTTACTACACTCTTACCGCTCTTCCCTTTGTCTTTACGGGTCTTCCCCTTTGCCTTTCTCTCAGTTTCTCTCTGACTTCATGCCTGCTTCGGGCCCCTGGGATGAAAAGCCTTTTGAGCCCGAGAGCCTAACCTGAGGCCGAGCGCGACACGAACGAAGAGTCGCCAGCCAGGGGCCCAAAGGAATTCGCTGACGGTAACAGGACCTTCCCCGTGTTTCCCCTGTCCAGCTTCTGCCACTGCGTGCGGGAATTCTCGGCCCCCGCAAGCATCCTTGGCATTAGCAGGGCCGGACGAAGATGCAAGGCTGTAAGAGCTGCCAGCATCGGCAACTGCAGCAAACAAAACATCCACAGGTCAGAACAATAAGACCCCAGACCCCAGGCAAGGCAAAAAAGAAAACCCAGAAGCGTAATAGGATCGCACAGGTCCCCAGCCGCTTCTGAGTGCAGGGGCTTTGGGGGGCTTTGGCCGCAATTCGCCTCAGGAGCCGCTACAGCTCTGCATCTCTTGTCCCACCCAGCACGGCTACGAAATCGCTCGGACGTCCCTCAGACTGCAACGGGCAGGGGGCTGCGGGCTTTGTGGGGAAAATTGAAGGAAGAGGCGGTTTTTCCTTCGTTGAGTGGTTGCAAAGAGCAGCAGTCATGGGCTTGGCGCACGTTGCATCGCAAGTGCAGGTGCGTTGAAGACCTTCTGCTCAACGTTTACGACGAGTACGAAGACTATTGCGAAGAGCATGGTCTGGACTGTGTGACAGAGTGCTTGCTATTTGCCGGCCCAGTTGTAGCCGCGAACTTCTCACAGACGGCGCTCCAGGCATCTGACATGACAAAGGGGACGGAAACGGGTCTGCAAGCAGGAGTGCGAACCGCCCATCATCCGAATGACGGAGAGGTCCAGTCGCACGCTTTGCCATCACCACGGGTGCAAGCCAGAAGAGAGGGAGAGATTGGAGAGCCCAGGCCCTAGGCCTGCCGTGAGAGATGTTGTCGATTTTGCTGTCGCATTCCGTTCTCGGACATGCGTAGTATATAACGGTATACGTATGTGTATATATATATATATATGTATACATATATGTATACATATATGTGCATTAGCTTTAGAGAAATTATAGTAGTGCGGTAGTATATGATATAGCTTCTGAAGCACTTGGAATCGGCCAGGCATTTGGCCGGAGATGGCGGCAGTGGGGGTGGAGGCACCCTCTTTTGTCGAAAATGGTGGAGCTCTTCATGTGGTGATCGGGGTTGACAAAGTAGCCTCAGTTACATAGGTGGAGGAATTTGACTCAACAACGGTGATAAGGTTTAGGTCCAGGTGCTTTTCGTCGTGGGTTCAGGGGTCGGTGCTTAGGCGAAGAGGGGACCCAGCGGTTTAAGGGTCTTTGGGGCGGTGAGGGCGCTGGGCTTCACTGCGGCTTTGCAGCTCACGCGAACCGAGAGCCCTTGGCGCAAGCATGTATCATTGCCTCCGCAATATAACTATCAGTCATGAGTCGCTACTACCGTTACACACCCACTTTTCGCCAGTAACCGCACAAGAACCGCAGGACTGTGTTAGGCAACCACACAAGAATTGATTGTGATCATGGGGACGGCGCCCAAGCCCCGACCGGTGAGGTTGAATTGGACGAAAGCTAGGCCATGCTGGGCCCCTGAATAATCATTCCCTATACGATATCTACTAGTCGAGTACTAGTATGGGAGTAGGGCTGTGAGCGGCGCCTTGCTTGGACACTGAGAAGGTGATTCTCCTTGTACCGGACCGGCTAAGAATCGGTGGAAAGGTACATACACCAGCATTCATTCATCAACTGAGTCATTAATCTATTGCTTTGGGATTTGCGGGAACCGATAATTCGAATGCACCACTTGATTTCTGCATAACGCTATGTATGTTCAAGTGGCATGCGCCACTCGCCCCACTTGAAGCGTGCACACCGCTATGACTGTTCAGGGGCGGGTGCCACTTGTCAGCTGTGCCACTTGAGGGATGGACGCGTGCTGGGGTTTCAATTTAGGATTCTAGGGTTAGGTTCCCAGCAAAGGCTATTGCAGGCTGGATGCAAAAAAGGATTCTAGGGTTTAGGGTTAAGTGTATCTGACTAGTACTAGTACCACTACTATTACTGCTACAAGTATGACTATTATGCCTCACGGACTGCAAGCGGCACAAGTGGAGTAAAACAGTGATGTGGTTCTGGTGTTGGGTGAGGCTTGCTTGGCAAGCGGCAGAAAATCATATAGCGCTTCTCGAATCCCAGCGCACTGCATGTATCTCTCGGTGCTCATGCGTGGACTCTGAGAGATGCATCCCGAATGCGTCTCTGCGGAAGGACTAGCGGCCAGCGCGTTCCTGCCCGAATGTGTGACGTGCTTCATGTTGGCCTCATAGCCGAAAGCTGTTTAAGAATTCAAGATCCAGACTCTAAACTGCGACCTCCCCGTACAATGCCTGAGAAAGCCACAGGTTTGTGTTACGAAGCAACGAGCTTCGGTAGAGAGCAGCCGCTTCAGATGATTCACAACGTCGTACAGTAGCTCCGGGATTATGATGACCAGGTTGGTAGGTTACTCGTAGGTGTGTGTTGCCGCTCCGGCAGGGGGCAGCGCCAGCAATAGGCCTGCGAACAACAGGCCAGCCATGCTCAGCTCAGCTGAGGGAGCGATCAGACTTCGACGCATCGCTTTCTGGCCGCTTTTGGCACATGCCCTGGCCCTTCTCCCTGTCAGGGGAAAGAGAAAGCCGAAAGCCAAAGCTAGTGCGGCACCCAGGCAGCTTGGCTGAAGCTGGGTCCCCAACGAGCCTTGCAGCGCCTTGCGGGTCACAGTGCCTTAGGCATTTGCAGGTCACCGCAAGCACCAGCATCCACTCACAGTCCTAGGCATTTGCGGGGCCGGGCCCAGCAGAAAAGCGACAATTGCGAGATGGGTTTGAGACCACTCACCACACAAGCCATGGCATCAGGTTCTGCGAAGCCAGCACAGCTCCAAGAATTCACTGCAACCTGCGCGCTTTGTGACACGCTGAACCGTCTTGAGCCACTGGCAGCAGTTCGGCGATAACGGTGACGACGACGGCCACAAACATCCTGGAAGTGTCGAGCCAGAGGTTAAGAGCGAACTTGGGAGTCCGTGAATGCTAAGCCCGTGCCGCGGAAAGATAGGATGGCCGACTGTGCTGCTCACGGGATAGCGGATAGCAAATCGGGGAAACTCTCAAATCAGAATTGCCGGCAGATTATTCCTCAACGATCTCTGCCTCCCTGAAGAAACCTTTTCTCGTAAACTTTCCCCATCTGCCGCAGGGTGGAAGACAGCGACAGAGGAGATCCGCCAGACGGCGCCCCTTCCGTCGAGGACGCAGCGACAAGCTTCTGAAGCTTTCAGAAAGTTGGTCACGTCAACAGCAGCCCAAAGTGCGCACTTAGCAGTGTAAACACTACGAAGCTCGGGACAAAGACATCAGCTGTGTTGCCAGTATTTTTTCTCAAGTACAAGCCTTCGAAGTGCAGGAGATTGAGCAGCTGATATCCGACAGAAATGCCTGTCGCAAGCGCGGAGAGTATAGCAAGGCTCCGCTTGCTCTCCGGGGGGGCGGGCTATGAGAAATTCTTGAGGTGCCTTGCAGCTTGGCGAGGCAGATGAGATTCGGGATGAGCTGAAAGGTCGTGGCGTCGTCCTGAGCGACGAGAAAGGACCTGCTTAGATCCTCGCAAGGGCTCTCGTGTTTGCTGTGTGGCTATGAGATCACTCGAGGAGCCCACGGCGATGGGTTGACCGTAACTTCCTGGAGGTGCATGCCTCCCGAAGGGGTTCATGTCGGGTCAGACATGGTCTGTTGTATGAGAGCACCAAGTCAAAGGATGCATCTCAACAACACGTGATGGCATGAGCACTTTTGGTGTTACACGCACTGCTATTTTTCCTCCGGCTGCTACAGCTGCTGCACTACGACTCCCAGCACTACGAAAACTACTACTACCACGACTACCTCTGGTGCTGCTGCTATTGCTATTGCTGGTGGCGCTGCTGTTCCTGCTGCTGCTACTACTGCTGCTGCGTCTGCTTCTGCTACTGCTACTGCTGCTCCTCCTCCTCGTCCTACTGCTGCTGCTGCTGCCGTTACTACTACTACTACTACTACTACTACTACTACTCCTACTACTACTTCTACTACTACTGCTACTAGTACTAGTACTAGTACTAGTACTAGAACAAGGTACCGCCCCGTACGTTTGCCCACCATAAGTGGCGCACGGGGCTGTTCTACAACGTTATTTACGGTAGTTTCGCAAAGTGCGTGCAATGTAATTCCTGGATGAGAACTGCAGAATTCCGAATCCCGACATGAAGAAAAC